AGGCTTTTGTCGAGTTTCTCAAAAGTTCAGAGGAGGTATTTATTAAAATAAAACTATAGGGAAGGTTTTTATGATTGTCAAAAACTTCAGGGGAGGTTTTTATCTTTTATCCAATACTTTTTTGAGTTGTATTCGTCATGGATTTGCATTCAGCATAATAATTTTGATTAGCAGCGACGAACTGACAACCTTGTTGGACCATTTCTTCTTCTTCTTTTCTAGGATTCTCCACACCCCCCCCCCCCTTCTCTCTGTACTAGACAACAAGACCTACAAGCTATCTCTCTGTACCAAACGATCAATAGTGAAAGACAGACCGCAGATGAAGATAGTTAGGGCTGTAAATGGGTTCTTCACTCATATTCCATCAATTTTCTACTAATAAGGTTAACATTTTTGGATCATCTCATAGTATTTTTTCCGTTCATAGTTTGAGAGAACGATCTCACTTTCTTAGTTTCCACAATTCATTCTACAACTGTGTCTTTCACTTTAGTTTTGCCACAAGTAGTATCGAACACTTGTCTGTATTGTTCCAGTGTTTTTTCTTATCTAATGCTAATGCCCAAGGATTGCAAGGTTCATTGATAGTGACAATGACTCAATGTGGGAAATCATTCTTTCTAAAAAATGCATGTAGTGGGTGCCACCTTAGATTCCAAGATCCCAACACTATAGGCTCTTCCTATTTTGCCACCAAGTGTTCTACAAAATGACAACCCGTGAACAGGTCTAATGGGGATTGAATGACAAACATTCACTAACCACTTCTATCGTTATAACAAAGAAACCGACAAATAACCTACAAATCATCTAAATAGCAGCATTTGCAACCCCCAAGAAAGATCCTTGATTTTTGTGTAATTTCTGTTATATTTCTTCAGTTTTTATGCTTTTTCTATAAAGTTTTATATTATTATGCAATTTCTATTATTTTTTTCTGTAATTTCTGGTTTTCTTTGTTTTTTTTTGTAGATCTTGTTATTTTTTCTTCAATTTTTATTGACTTTTTATAATTTTTTGTGTATTTCTTTGTTTTTTGTATTTTATATTATTTTCTTCATTTTCTGCATTTTTTATAATTACATTTTTCTAAGTGAAAATTTAATGAATTGGGCAGGTTGGTTTGAGTTAAACGCAACCCAATTATTTATTCATAAACGGGCCATTAAATTGACGGGTCAGTTGGGTTGGGTTGAAGCTCAACCCAAACCCAACCTACCCAATTGCCACTCCACTTTTGATGTTGGGCAGTTGCAAACAGTCGTGTAATGGGCATTTACCACTCTGCACTTATCGCATGCAAACCACCCACAATGACCTTTTCAAAGCACTAAGAAAATTAGAGAAAACTTTCACAGTTTCACTGTTAAGAAGAAGAACGTTTGTCGGCATTACACAGGCTGTTGGGGAACGTTCTAGGGCATGATAAATTACCATGTATGTAAGGGTGTGAATGGATCGATTTTGGATTGGACCCGTCCAGTCCAAAATCAATTTGGACATACGGATTGGATGGACCAATAAGACATATTGGATTGGACCAATCCGGTCCAAAATATTTATTATATTGGATTGGAACTGGTCCATTCATAACAAATTTATATTGGATTGGATTGGATTAAACCAATATCTGGTCCATTGATATAAGATAAGAATATACTAGCAGGAATCGCACGGGAAAATCTGAAAGAATTAATAATTTTATTTAGGGAGAATGACGGTTCAGCACAGGGTCAGAATTTGTAGGCTCAAAGTACATTTGGGGTACGGGCCAGCTTGAAATTGATGCCAATTCACGGGCGGGTATGGGTGTATAGATTGCGGGTTTTTGACCTTTTGAATGTTTATTGCTCTGCAGTGGAAATCAGAAATCTGCATTAGGCTTGTCCGTACTTCTCCGTTTTATTTATTATTAATTAATATTAAATTAATAATCAAATTTTTTTGTTAATTAAATAAAAGTATTCAAAGTTATTTTTAATATCTAAAATTTTAATAATTGTACTTTCAATTTAATGTTGATTTACAGAAAATAATTTTTGTTAATTTAATATGAACAAATATTTTTTTTAATAAATTTAGTTATATATATAATTTGTAGTCATTTTAATAATTTTTATTATTTTTAAATGAAATTTTGATTAATTTTAAATAAATAAAAATAATTACAAAAGCTAATATTTTTATTAGTTTCACTAATAATTAACAATTATATAGGAATGACAACGGGGTGGGTTCAGGGTGGGGCACCCCATCTCTGTCCCTACTCCATAGTCAAGACACTCTACCCATCCCTGCCTCGTCCCAAGTTTCAAGCGGGTTCAGGGCAAGGCACACCTCAATGTTGAGCGAGTTCAGGGGCAAGGCACCCCACTCCTCATCAAGGATGGGGAATCCTCGAATTTCCCCAGCCCGTCCCCAATATTGGGTGGGTTCAGGTAGAGGTGTAAATTGAGTCGTGATAGGCCCATCCCCGCCTCGAGCTTCAGGATTCATATAAGGGCTAGGCTTAGGCTCAAGATCTAGGCCCGATGGTCAGGCGGGCTCAAGCTTGGGCTTGCACATTTTCTATTGATAAAGAAGCTCGTGTTAATTATAAAACTATGATTTTTTACAAATTAAAATTTTTATTTAATTCTAGTCCATTAAATATATAACATTTCTATATAAATTAATATAAAATTTGTTATTTAAACATTATATAATAATATTTACCATATATGCATATAACTTCCAAGTTGAGCTTATTAGGGGTTGTTTAGCTTTGGCCCTATCCGCTAAAGCCATCATTAAACTCCAAAAGTTTGATACCCAATCAGACTTCGAATATGATTATCCCTGATAATGTGTGGGCATGGTGCATATCTCAGATAGACCTAACTTGGAAGAAAATAGTTGTTTGAGCCTGTAAATTTATAAATCTAATCGAGTTAGGTTAAGTTATACACAATTTGCTACTTTTTATTATTAACTATTAAAATACAATAACTAAATGTAATTAAATTGCTAATTTCTTGGCTAAAACTAATTAGAGGTAATGTTTTGGTAATTAAATATAACTTTTTGGTAAATAAATGTAATTTTCTACTATTTATAGCTTAAATTATAATTACTATTAATTACAATTTAAAAATAATTATTGTTAATTATTTTTAGATCTAATTGGAATAGATTAAGTTATTTTTATACCTAACTTAAAAGAAAATAGTTGCTTGAGCCTACAAATTTATAGATCTAAACGGGTTATGTTAAATTATAAACGATTTGTTATTTTTGTTATTAATTATTAAAATATTGTTAGTTACTGAAATATTGTAATTATTAAATTACTGTATTTATTTAAAATACAGTAGTTTCTGGGAATTATCATGTTTTCAGAAATATGGCTAACTTCTTGGCTAAAACTAATTAAATGTAAATTTCTAGCAATTAAATATAACATTTTGGGAATTAAATGGAATTTTGTACTATTTATATCTTAAATTGTAATTACTGTTAATTACAGTTTAAAATAATTATTGTTAAATATATTACTATTAATAATTAAAATACATTTTTCATTACTATTAAGTATTTTTTGCAATAAAATACAATTAGTTTAATTTTTTAGTAATTTAATTGAGCTTTAGGTTTTCCAGAATTTTTGGTGTTTTTTCAATATTATTTTGTAATTTTTGCATATGAGTATTTTTCAACAAGTTTCACTATTTTCCTCATTTATTTTTGCATATTAGTTACTATGAAATTAATTTTCATTTTCTTTCAGTAAAAATAAATTAAATAACTAAATAAATACCATAGTTAATAAAAGATACATCTAATTTCCAATATTTTTCAATATTTTATGGCTTGTGTATTTTTTAACATTTTTGGTATTTCTTAATAATAAAGTACTATTAATTGTACTTTAATTATTTTTAGTAAATATCCTTATTAATATAAAATATTCTTAATTTTTCAATATTTTAAAATTATTTTTAGTATTTTAATTATTTTTAGGTTTCTAAGAATTTTTCAGATTTTTATTTAATTGTTTGTATTTTTCATTATTATTCAGTAATTTTTTGCATATGAGCAATTTCTGTAATAAAATATTGTTAATAAAACAGGTTCTGCTTTTTAAATTTTCATTAATTTTTATCATTTTAAATGAGTCCATTATGCACATTAATGGTCTCAACTCATAAGTTATCTAATAGTATTATTAAAACTATCAATTAATATTTTTATATTTAAATTTCTTATTTTTATTAGCATTTATTAAGTTTGATTTTTTAGAGGAATTGAAACACATTTTTAATATTTACTAAGTTTTGTTAATATTTATTTTTAGTGAAAGTTTAGTGGATTTTTAAATTAATAATTTCTTGATTGTTTACCCCAAGGTTTTTAAAACCGACCCGGACAATGAATAGGTCAGGGGTTCGGTTCCTGTGCACCGCACGGCTCTGACCGCTTGAACCGAATAGACGACCCGTTCTGATAATAAATAAAAAATAAGAAAAAACCGGCCAAACCATTGAATGGTTTGATCGCCTAGGTCAGCGATTTGCTGGCCAAATCAACAATTTTGGGGGAAATAGCGGTTATGGGGTAAAACGGAACCAGTTCTCAGTTTTTCTGGTCCGACCATCCGGTCCGGTTTTGAAAACCATGGTTTAACCTCAACCTATTTATATTATTACTAATCTCTCTCTCTCTTTGAAATGTAACAAACATGAATTAAAATAAGAGGCGTTAAAAAACTCAAAGATATCTCTCTAATAATGTGCAGATTTATTAATCTATTCAAAATAAGCAATGATTATTGCTTATATTTTCAAAAGAAAAAAGTTGGGATGTCATGTACTAACAACCCATGTTGTTGGCACCGACAGCCTATTTTAAATAGAATGAAGCAGTTGCGACAAGGACTGGAGGATAATGATGTTGAATTGTCAAATAAAGAGTATACTATATATACATATATAATTAGAGGAACTAGTGGTGGACGTGTCGGCCGGTGCAAGTTTGTTGAGAGGATTTGTATCTCTTCAATGGCAATGGCTATCGTCATTGACAATGAAGAAGCAAAGATGCTGGTTCAAGCTCAAGCTCATATATGGAACCACATCTTTAACTTCCTAAATTCCATGTCGCTTAAATGTGCAGTTCAACTTGGCATACCAGACGTCCTCCACAGCCATGGCAAACCCATGCTCCTCTCTGAGTTGGTTTTGGCTCTTGGGGTCCCTCAATCGAGGACTGCTTGTCTTCACCGCCTCATGCGTATGTTGGTGCATTCTGGCTTCTTTTCTATGCACAGAGTTTACAAGGATCCAGAGGAGGAAGAAGAAGAAGAAAAAGGGTATGTGCTCACTCCTTCTTCGAGGCTTCTCCTCAAGGATAATCCCTTGAATGTGTCTCAATTCTTAATAGCAATGCTTGACCCAGTACTTGTAACTCCTTGGCACTTCTTGAGTGCATGGTTCCAAGGGAATGGATTGGCTACGCCATTTGAGGCTACAAATGGAAGGGCGTTCTGGAACTATGGGGCCCATGATCCCGAGTATAATAACCTATTCAACGTGGCCATGGCTAATGATGCTCGACTGGTGATGAGTGTTGTTCTCAGAGAGTGTGAGGCTACTTTCCAAGGATTGGGGTCATTGGTAGATGTAGGGGGTGGAACAGGAGCGGCGGCCATGGCCATTGCTGACAAGTTCCCTCAGTTGAAGTGCATAGTGTTTGATCTCCCTCATGTAGTGGGGAATTTGGTTGGAAGCAAGAATCTAGACTATGTTGGAGGAGACATGTTTGATTTTATTCCCCATGCAGATGCTGTTTTACTCAAGGTAAGGAATTTAATTATCCATTAATTGATTATATAGGCCTTCCAAATAAATCAAAACGGGGGTGTCAATATCAATATCAATATTAAGTGTTGTCTGGTGGTCAAGGAACCACTTTTAATTTGTTAGATTTAAAATTAAAAGCAAGAATATAAATTCTAATTTGTTGATATCTTATGTTAATTTGACAGTGGATTTTACATGACTGGAGTGATGAGGAATGTGTGAAGATATTGAAGCGGTGCAGAGAAGCAATTCCCTGCACGGACAAAGGAGGAAGAGTGATCATAATAGATATGGTGATAGGTGACAATAAAATGGAGAACGAGTTAACTGAAACACAGCTCTTGTTTGATATGTTGATGATGGGTTTAGTTACCGGAAGAGAAAGAAGCAAACAAGAATTGGAGAAACTCTTATTGGAGGCTGGTTTTACTCACTATAAGATAATTCCCATATTGGGGTTAAGGTCTCTCATCGAGGTTTATCCCTAGTGACCTAGCTAGTAATATGTGCTAGTTTTATGACAATTGTTTTTCTACTTCTTTATTTATCATGTTTTTTTGCAAGCGTGTTTCTTTCATGTATTAATTTAAATGCCTAATAATATTTGGGACTGGTTTATGGTATAATGCTGATAAGCTCCAATGTACAATATGTGGTCATGTAATGTTGGACATTTCAAAAACGCTAAAAATGCCTTTGCTTGCTTTATGTGATCGATCATTTTATCTATTTAATATTAACAAAAGGGAAATTTCTCTCTCTCTCTCTATCTCTCTCTCTCTCTCTCTATATATATATATCCCCAAGGTTCAAAGTATCAGACGGAAAGGCAATTTTAAGAGACGTATCGGGATACGTCTTGGATATGCTTGTCTATCGAAGAAAAATTAAGATACACATACATATGCATGGAAACACTATAAATACTTCAATAAATCATAAAAATACATTAATAACAGTAAATATAAGGCCTCAATGAGGTTACATACATTAAATTAATATATTTTAATGGTTTTATGAAAAATGCATCGTAGTAATTATAATTTCATTAAAACACCCTATGCTTAACTATAATTTATAAATTATAATTCTTAAGTTTTAAGGGATGGGAAAACCCAACTATCCTGTTTATCCAACCATAAAACATGCATTTGCACAATTTCTAAGTGCAAATATAATTATTAATTATTTCTTATTAAATAATAATTAATTATTTTTTTAATTATAAAACCAAAAATTAATAAACATTCTATAATATATTCAAAATAATAATTATTGAAGAAGAAATTTCAATTTCTCTATGGATATGATAGATCATCCATAGATCTATAATATAATCAATCCATGTGATTAGATCATAAATATAATTAATTAGTAATTATTTTTAATTCTAAAAATACAAAAAATAAAAAAACAATATTGAAGAAGAAATTGCAATTGCTCTATGGATATGATAGATAATCAATAGATCTAAAACATAATAAGTCTTTCTAGGCAGATAAAAAAATATGTTTTCAATTTCTTTTTGCTATTTTATACTTTTTCCCAATCTCTTCATAAATCTACTCATAACACATAAAAAAGTGATTTTGAACAAAAATTTTCAAAAACATTGACAATTCACACGTGTTTTTTGATTTTTTTTGTTTTTGTTTTGTTTTTTTGCATATCTAGCACTTTATGAATGAGATTTTGAGTTTTAGAGTCATTTTATGGTGAAAGAAGGCTTGCTTCAAGGGAAAGAAGCTTTCTTTCCCCATTTATTTTTTATTTTTTCCATTTTTTGCCTATATATTTTTCGTAGTGTACATGTTTTGATACACTATCGGTATCCCCCGATACATCCCTCGATACACCTCTGATACGGCCTAATACAGATTTGACACAGCCCGGTACAATGGAGAAAAACGATATGATTGGTTTTCCACGGTATCTTGTGTTGGAATTTCAAAGATATGATACGATGCACCCTATATTGGGCGTATCATGTCAAAATTTGAAACCTTGATACCCTTGTTGTGTAGCCCTTGGAGCAAAAGAAAAAAAAAGCTAGTCCTCAAAATTAAAGTGACATATTAGACTAAAAGAATTTGGAAAAGAAAATCCAAATGATGTGCAATGGTTTCAACTTTCAAGTATTGTCGGCCATCTTGACCCAACCAGTTAGATCAGCGACCCATTTTGGTTAACCTAATTAGACTATGTTTGGGAGTGCTTACGTTAAAAATAAGTAAAAACAAGTGCTTATTTAGATAATCTATATTTGTATTTGGCACCCATCTTTTTCAAGTGCTTATTTTTTAAAATAAGCACTTATTTCATATTTGGCATTTGGTGATCTTTTTCTCCAATACACACTTAAATAAGCACTTGTAACTCTTTTTTGTCCTTAATTTTCTTTCAAATTTTCAAAATATACCATGAGTTCTCCAACAGTTGTCCAATATCAACAACTTCAACCTGACAAAAAAGAGGAGAGATACAGTAGATGCCGTGCTGCTTTCAAGAGACATCTGGGAGTGGGAGGATTACAGTGATTACTCAAAAATTTCAACCTCAACAGTCCAGAATGCAGGTGATTCCATAATTTGTGGAATATTGAATGGAATTCCATAAATGATAGTGATTCGATAAATCAACTTGTGATTCGATATTGATGCAAATGGAATTCTGAATGTCTTAGCTGTGAGAGAGAGATGTGGTTACATACGGTGTTGTTGTGCAAGTTCAATCCTACTAAATTAGAGAAACCGACAAAACAGTCTTCCACATAACAGCTAAACGACAATAACAAGAGTTATTAAAAAGGGTTCCAATACATCAAGTTCATCCTACTACAGGAGATCATGGGTTCCGTAAAACCCAACAAGCCAATCCCATTTAATTTCATAATTTTCTAAATACGGCGCACAGTCGGATTGTTACCCAGTCCTCTCCAATTCCAAAACAGGACATTCATAATGAAATAGAGGCCGAAGCATTCTTACCGTGACCCGTTTGGGATCTTGTGACAGGCTTGTGAGGCACCGGTGGAATAGGAGCATCAAATTGAGGCTCTTGTGGCTGTTGAGGGGAATAGGAGCATCAATATGAGGCTGAGGTTTTTCTCTTTAGACTTCTTTTTCTTTGGGAACACGAGGGACATTATTGGCCTTAGGGCCTGTTAGTTTGTTCTGAAGTCTGACATTTGAAAGTGTAATAATTACATTAAGAGGTATATTGATATTAGTGTACTTTTTTTTCCTCTAAACTCTAAATGCAGAAAATGTTGATTTGAATTCTGAAAATGATCAAATATCCATTTTGACCCCATATATGAGAGTTTTTGTTTGTCTTTTTGGGGTATTATTGAAAAACAAAAAGTTGTATGAATACACTTTAAGAGAAAAGAAATAAGAGAAAACGAAGAACCATTTTTCTCTTAAAGTTAAAAGATTCCTCTTAAGATATAAGAGTTAAGAGAAAAATAATAGGCCTTACCCTGACATGGGTTTGGATCTATAAACCTCTTGTTAACTTTGTTGTACTTGCATGATGCAGCCAAATGACCAATTTTGTAACAATTAGTGCAGTACGCAGGAAGTTGTTCATAGATTACCTCCTGCTAGAACCCACCTTTTCTAGTGCCAATCCAAATGTGATTCGGGTGTTCCTTCAAAAAATCCAATCCAACACACACCCGAGCAGCTGATGTGTGGGAGAGGGTTGACGTAGCAGGGTCGATTTTCAAAACAGGTCCAACTACCTGTGCAATAGAACGAAGAGAACCCTCTATGTAGAAATTGATCGGCAAGTAAGGGAGGTTAATCCATATTGGCACTAATGACCGCTCCCAACCAGGTTCAAAATCCAATACCCATTTAGGTGCTGTTTGGTACCATTTTCATCTATGGATGGACCATTTCAGTCCATACCACATGAATACCAATTAGGGTTTCAAGCCATGAGCTTGGATCACCCTCAGATTTGGACTTCTTCATCGCATCCCATGCATATTTTCCAAAAGGGCACAATAAGTTCCAACCCTCAACCAACTTGATCTAACACCGCACATCTCAACATGAGACTAGGACTCACCATAAAAGGACCCAACATGTATGAGATGTGCGGTGTGAGATCATGATGGTAGAGGGTTGGAGCGTGTTTTGTTGGCAGGTGATCCAGACTTGTTTGAGTGATAGGGACTTGTCACATTCGTCAATGATCTGTTTCACATCGATAGTGGATTTCTTGGAGTTTAAGTGGCCAAAGCAAGGTGTAGTTAGAAGATTGTGGCCCTATTTGATTTTACTTCTTTTAACGTAAAAGAAGTGCTAGGACCACACATTAAGTGGAAAATAACCACTTATTCCTGTTTGGCAAATAAGTCAGGAATAAGTGTTTATTTAAAAAAGAAGCACTTAAAAAAAAGTAACTTGGGAGTGGCTTTTTTTAATCACTTGTTGAACACGTACTTATTCGAAATTTGTGAGATGGTATAGTCCTTGAATAGTTTTTAGGGTAAATCTCTTAAATTACCCCTACTACTCACAAAATCGACAAACTGTACCCTTAATGTTTTTAAAATTTGACATCATCGTTAATTGCTAACGAAAAGAAACGACATGTCGAATTTACCCTCCACTATTCCTCAAATTTCAAAATAAAACCCAATCAATGGACAATCAGACATGGAAAGAGCCTGACTTCTGGAGGTTCAACTTTCCCCGTTGCCAAAACTAATTTTACTTTATCCATTGGTCTCTTTTGAATATACCTTCTATGATGCATTTGTTGTAATTTCTTTGTTTGACAAGCACTGTGATTGCCTTTTCAATCCATACAGAACCTCTACGACCTCGATTGAAGAAGATGAGGTTTAGTAATCTTTGGAGGCCGGTGCTTAGCTCTGATAGGTTTCTGCAACATAAGTTCAAACTTTCAATAGATGAATCTTCAGACACAGACACAGAAACAACAAAAGAAAACCAAATAAAAAAAGAATAAAAACTAACCATCTTCTTTTGAATAGAAAAATTGAAAGAAGAAGGCGAGATCGAAGCCAATGAGGGTACTAGCGCACTTGGTCTCGCATGTGAATTTGAAGCCTGATTGTGAAATTGAAGGGAATGAGGGGAGAGAAAGAGAACGAAGGGGATGAAGAGAGAAAGAGAGGGAGGGAGAGATGTCGGATGCGGAGAGGTCTGACTTGCAGTGACAACAATGGCTGTGGTGGCATCTCCGGTTGTCAGATTTGAAACAGGGGTTGTAGCAGCGGTAGTGACAACGATGGATGTGGTGACATCTGCGGTTGTCAGATTTGAAACAGGGTTGCAGCAGCGACAACGACAACGGTGGCTGTGGTGACATCTCCGATTGTCAGACTTGATTATTTTTGGTTTTTGGAATGATTTAATGCTTGGAATGTTGTTGGCGTTTTTTTTTCTTAGATATGGTTTTGAGGACTAAGAACTCACCATAGAGTCGCCAGCAACCAAAGGCAAGTTGTTGTTGTTCTTATTATTCATTTTTCTATTAATGCCACGTGTGTTACATGTGGATTCTCATGTGTCTCGATGTGATGTGGCAAGATTATTTTAAATATATAATATAATATATGAATACCATTGTTTATATATGTGTGAAATAGGGGTTAAAAATATCATTTCCATTAAAATAAGTACTTATTGGAAAAGTGACTCACCAAACATCTCCACCCCAATAAATACTTAAAATAATTATAAGTTGCATATGGGTCACCAAACAATGTTAAGTACTTGTTCAAATAAGTACATAGAATAAGCACTTGTGCTTATTTCTCAATGTACTTACTTCTCAAACCACTTAATCACCAAACATAACTTGTATCACTTAAAAAAAATAACTTAATAAAATAATAGAAATAAATAAAGAATTATACCAGTAGGTGGCAAAGATGTAAGCCACCCGTTGGAAAGAGCAGAATCACAATGAGAAGTTGAGAAGAATTTGGATTGGCTGGAGACAAAATCTTACGCATTGGGCTAGGCAACCAAAGAGGAGTGAACACACCAATGTTCCATAAACCTGGAGCCCACAACTTATGTATTTAGAACATTGATGTGTTCACTCATGATTGGTTCCCCAACCCAGTGTATAAAATGTTATCAATTTAAATGCTTTCCAAATATTTAATAATATGTAATAGCTTTAAATAAAAAAATTCAAATAACAAAAAAATTTAAATCTTTTATAGATTATTTAAATATTTAAATAACTAAATATTTATCATAACTATATTTTGAATAGTTCATATAACAAAATTATCTAATAAATAATTTTATATTTTTACAAAACATATCACAAAATTATGTACTAACAATTTAAATTATGTTTTTCCGGATCTTCGATTTAAATGTTTTTCAAACATTTAATAATATGTAATAGCTTTAAATAAATAAAATTCAAATAAAAATTTTAAATATTTTATAGATTATTTAAATATTTAAATAACTAGACATTTATCATAACAATATTTTAAATAGTTAAAATAACGAAATTATGTAATAAATTTAAAAAATTTCTATAAAGCAGAAACATAATTATAACATAATATTGAAATTAACAATAATTTAATATATTAAAAAATTAATAATGAAATTATGTAGTAATAATATGAATTATGACTAGATTTTAAATAACAAAATATTTAACATAACTAGATTTTAAATAGTTAAAATAAAGAAATTATGTAATAAATTTAAAAATTTTCTGAAAAGTAGAAAAATAATTATAACAAAATATTGAAATTAATAATAATTTAATATTTTTACATAATATTGTAAATAATTAATTTCACTTATATCAAGTAAAAATTAGAGAAAAAATCTTTCATAAAAATTCTTATTTATTAATAATGATTTTATACTCTTAATCTGTATTTATTATATAATTATATATACTAAAATTAATATTTATTGTATTTCAGTTATTATTTATTGTTTTTGTGATAAATGTATTTTCAATGATTATATATAAATTTATTTTGTTTTGTTATTTAATAGAAAACTTTCAATAATTATTGGAGATTAAATTGATATTAGTGAAATTTTTGAATTTAATTTATTGTACTTATCGTATTTATTTTATAACTTGTTGATTAATGTTTATTAGAGATTAAACTATTTATTGACTAAGTTAATATATTTTTAGTACTTTTTGTATTTTTTTAATTATTGTATTTTTTCATTATCAATAATTGTATAATTTTGCTATAAATTTTCAATAATTATTGGAGATTAAACTATTGTTATTTATCAGAGATGAGACTATTAATTTAGCTGAAATTATGAGTGTTCATGAGTTGGTTCAGTTCGGTCATAGGCTATTTAGCCAACCAAATTGACCTGGTTAGGTTGGGAAGTTGGTCAGCTGAAACCAACGAACTTTTTGTGAAAACCGACCCACTCAAGTTGTATCGGTTTGGGTCGACTTTTTCATTTGGTCAGTTGGTTCAAAAGATTTAAACTTAAAAATTAAATTTAATTTTAAAAATTATAATACAATTATTAAAAAATAAATTTAAAAATTAGATTTATGATATAAAACATTTTAGACTAAGAAATATGGGAAATTTCCACTTTTCCATATTAAAAGTTATATTTAAAATATAAAATATTAATATATATCAATGGTTAGGTCGTTCGATTTTGGTTGGTTTACAAATGGCCAAAGTGAAATTGATCGAACTTGATCGATTTGGGAAATTTTTGAAACAAAGCCGACCTAAAATACTAGAAAACCGACCAACTCGGGTCGAGTTGATCGGGTTGGTTGGTTTCATCAATTTGTTGAATAAACCTAACTGAAATTAATTATTGTTATTTTTGTATTATAAAAAATTATTAAAAGTAGTATATAAAATATAAATAATTATTAATTATTTAAAAAGTTGAAAATATGAAACAATTGTATACTCTCATGTGATTCTATTAGGGTCATTTACTAGAACACATCTTATAGTTTTGCATATTTACTTAAACCTACCTTATAATTTTCATTTTATTAAAACATCCCATATATTTTACAACTTATTTACTTAATCAATCCTTCATTAAGGAGTGTTTGTTTTGCCATTAGGCCCATGATTTTTTTATTCTAAAAAATACCCTTAACACTTTTTTATACAGAAAACAAAATTAACCAAATATAGCCAATAGAGGTTGCCCGTGTCTTATAAAGGACAAAAATGGTATTTTTATTTTTATTTTCTTTTGATTAAATTTATTTAAATGAACATTAAGGTCAACACTATCATTTTCCACTGTCATCTAATGGAAGACTGATTAAATCCATTGCAAATTATAAGTGGTGTTTTAGTAAAATTTTAACTATAGGGTAGATTTTAGTAAATCCATAAAACTATAAGGGGTATTTTAGTAAATAACCCTTTCTATTATTTAGCTTTCGCTTAATAAATCCTGTGCTTCGCATGGGTCCCCGCTAGTATGATGTTAAAAACGTTCCCATTTTTTTAATTTCTATATTTTTTGCATTTTATATATTTTTGAATTTTATTATTTAATTATGGCAACATGGATTAGCCTATTTGACCCAAATGGTTTAATTTATTACCACCACCTAGATAAAAACACTATTTTTTTCTAGGTAGATATTAAAAGTATAAGTTTTTATGTTATTGAAATTATTAATTTATTATGTATGGATTTAATGAGAGAAAATTGAAGGTGAATGCAAATTAATACCTTAAATGTTGGATTTAATGAGAGAAAATTGAATATCTTAAAATTACCTCTTTTCAACTCATTTAATATCAATAATCAAATACCCTATTTGTCATTATTTTTTATGAATGAATTTAAATATAGAGGGATAAATTTTGTCCTCAGAAAATTCCAGAAATATTTTTGAAGCTATTCGTTAGAGGAACTGGACATGTCAGCCGGTGGCTCGTTGAGAGGATTTGTTGCTCTTCAATGGCAATGGTTGTCATTAACAATGAAGAAGCAAAGATGCTGGTTCAAGCTCAAGCTCATATATGAAACCACATCCAGACGTCCTCCACATCCATGGAAAACCCATGCTCCTCTCTGAGTTAGCTTTGGCCCTTAGTGTCCCTCAATCAAGGACTACTTGTCTTCACTGCCTCATGCGCATGTTGGTGCACTCTGGCTTCTTTGTTATGCACGGAGTTTACATGGATCCAAAGGAGGAAGAATAAGAAGGGTATGTGCTCACTCCTTCTTCTAGGCTTCTCCTCAAGGATAATCCCTTGAATGTTTCACAACTCTTATTAGCAGTGCTTGATCTAGTACTTGTAACTCCCTGGCACTTCTTGAGTGGATGGTTCCAAGGGAATGGATTGGCTACGCCATTTGAGGCTACAAATGGAAGGGCGTTCTGGAACTATGGGGAACAAGATCTGAGTTTAATAATTCATTCAACCAGGCCATGGCTAACGATCGAAGCTCGATTTGGTTGGAAGCAAGAATCTAGACTATGTTGGAGGAGACATGTTTGATTTTATTCCCCATGCAGATGTTGTTTTGCTCAAGGTAAGGAATTTATTCATTAATTGATTAGATATGGTGGTAGGTAACAATAAAATGGAGCATGAGTTAACTGAAACGCAGCTTTTGTTTGAAATGTTGATGATGGGTTTAGTTACTGGAAGAGAAAGAAGCAAACAAGAATTGGGGAAGCTCTTGGTGGAGGCTGGTTTCACTCACTATAAGATAATTCCCATACTGGGCTTAAGGTCCCTCATTGAGGTTTTTCCCTATTGACATAGGTTGTGTTTGGCACCATTGCCACATTTACTTATAACGTTTTAGGTTGGTCAATACAAATACTATGAGAATATATTTTTTCTAAAACAGATGATTTGAATTAAGAATACAACATTTGGTACCATTAATGTTTCTTCAGAAACTTCAAATTTGGTGTTTTTACTCTAAATGACAACACCCAATTTTTTTAGCGGAAATGGTTATCTGCTGATGACAAGCTAATTTTTCAAAAATTTGTATTGCCCAACCTAAAATTTTGCAAGTAGAAGTGGCAATAGTACCAAATACAACCCTAGTAATATGTGCTAGTTCTATGACAATTATCTATCTACTACTTTATTTTTCATGTTTAGCAAGCATCTACTTATATTATGTATCCTTGATGTATTAATTTAAATGCTTAATAATATTTGGGACTGGTTTATGGTATAATGTTGATAATCTCCAATCTATATACCAAACCTACAGTATGATGAAAAGACTAAGGTTGCATTTGGCATTCCTTATTTTAAGGACTTTTCCTCTTTTGTCGTTAAAATGCAGCCTATGACAGAGGATATAGGGGTGCAATTTGAGTGGGCTCAATTTGAGTACAGGCCAACCCAACCCCCTATTTTAAGGACTTTTCTTCTTTTGTCGTTAAAATGCAGCCTATGACAGAGGATATAGGGGTGCAATTTGAGTGGGCTCAATTTGAGTACAGGCCAACCCAACCCCCTATTTTACACAGGATAGGTTTGGAGTTTTAGGCGGAGTTTGGGGGTAGTTATTGAGAAATAAGTATTTATTAAATAAGTGGTTAAAAATAAGTGTTTATTTTAAAAAACGCTCATGAATGTTTGATAAAAAGCACCTTCAAACAGGGGTAGTATAGGTATTTTCAAAATGATGCAGCAAGCCAAGACAGGAAAGAAAGTAAATACACACTTATTGAATAGGCTTATTTGGGCTTATTTTCCAAATGCAAATAAGTGCTTATTGGTGTGTTCCCAGCCCAAAATAAGTGCTTATTCAAATAAACACTTATTTTTAAGTATTCACAGATTAGTTCTTAGGTTGGGCCTACATCCAAAATTTAGGGCTTTTTTTTATTCAGGTTGGTCTCAAGCCTATCCCTTAGGTAGCCCGAACCTGGCCCGAGCCTCACCTAGCCTTATCCCAACCCTAGCCCAATCCAAGCCCTGCCTTGCCACTTGTTGGCACCAATTTTCAGACATCAGGGAACTATGAGCACCCATACTTTAATTTTTCCCCAAGTATATGGGGTCAATTACATAAATCTTGTTTTGCCATTCCATTTTGTTCAGTTCCATATCTATCATTAAATTATGGACCCTTAAACAATTTGTTTTCATCAAAGTCCTTTTCAGTCTTCCATTAACTCTTCTAACCCCTTTAACAAATTATATAAATTTTCTATGCATGCTACCAAACTATCTCAATCTACTTTCTCTCATTTTATCACATACTGGAACTATTCTTAAGTTTCTTTGCATGTCTTTGTTTCTAACCTTGTCCTTTCTAATTTTACCACTCATCCCACTAAACATCCACATTCTTGCCACATTAATATTTTAAACATATTGTTTCTTAACCACTCAATGTTTTCCTTCATACAAAATAACTGGCCTTACAATTATTTTATAAAAATTTCCTTTTATCTGAAATGGAACAACTGCTCCCAAACCCAAATAAAGGAGAAGGGTTGTGTCAGGTTGGTAGTTGGCACTAAAACAATTATCTAATGGGCTATGGCCATGGATCTTGACATACATACAAACATGTATGGATCTTGACCAACCTGAGCTTGGCCTAGGCTTAAGACTAGGGGTGGCAACGAACCGAGCTTTTTACGAGCTGTTCGAGCCCAATTTAGTGGCTGGATTATTAAACGAGCCGAGTTCGAGCCTACTAGACCTCGGTTCACAAGTCGGCTCTATATATATATATATAATTATAGAAAATAATATATATATATAATAAAAATATTATAACTATTAATTTTTTAAATATAAAATAAAAAAATTATATACAATTTTTATTTTTATAAAATATTTTTTCTAAATATTTATAAAATATATAACAAAATAGTTTTATAAAATATAAAACAAGCTGATCCGAGCCAAACTCGAGCTTATGAACTTTTGACTTGAGCTGAGCTCGAGCTTAAGGTCGAGCCTTGTAGAATAGTCTTGAGCCGAATTCGAGCCTGGTACTATTCGGCTCTCGACTCGAATCCACCCCTACTTGAGACCAATCCAAGTATGCCAAATTTCAGTGCAGGCAGGTCCTACGTTAGATAAACTGAGCTTGATCTTGCATTTAGTTTGGGCTTGGGCCTTAGGCCCAGTTCTTAGGGCTAGGCCTGGGTTAACATTAAACCCAACCCAACTGAGTCCGCCCGACCTGTACTTTCAACTATTCATGTATGAACTATGGTCGGTCCTAGGTTAGATAAACTGAGCTTGATCTTACATTTAGTTTGGGCTTGGGCCTTAGGCCCAATTCTTAGGGCTAGGCCTGGGTTAACATTAAACCCAACCCAACCCAAGTCCACCCGACTTGTATTCAGGTATGAACTATGATCTATGATCTATGATCGGGATCCACAGACCTTTTCAATGGTCCATTCGGTATCAAGTCAAAATTAATCTTGATGGTACAAGTTTTGATTTAAAGTAAACAACTTGGTCATTCAAGTGCTTATCTCGGCCATCAAAGTGATTTTCGAGTTTAATGTAAAAATCCACCAGGAACCGCATATACATATTTCCACCCCTATCACAAAAAAGTATAAAATGGTGGGTTGGGTGTTTTCCTTCACTTAGCTACATAATGTTAACTGTATTACACTGAAACAAAAGTGAACATCAAACAAGGCTCTCCATTTGAGTTTGAACCTGTACAAAACATCAGCGCAGAACTTTTGTTTTTTTTTTTTGTGGGTCTCACAAATCAGGCCCAATATATATCGTAAATTTGTGGGTCTCATAAATCAGGCCTAATATATATACCGACATAGGCCACACCGGCGTGCTCCTTTTTTCTTCACATACCTTTTTTTGCTTTCTCCTCAACTCTCTCTCTTCTTTTTTTTTCCTCCATTCCCCCCTTCCCAGCTCTATCCTCCTCACTAGAGTCCCACTCCATCTCTCTCTCATGTTACTAATCACTTAGTCAATTACCTCCTAAAATTTCTCTTAAAGTATCTCTCCCACCTAAAATTCCTCCTAAAACCCCTCTTAATCTATCTTACATTCCTAATAAACAATCTAAAAATAAAAAATATGATTAAATTAATTAGTTAAATTAACATGTGAAATATTTTTGATATTTTCAATAATTACTGATATTATTGAATATTAATCATTAAATACCAACACCCAAACTATAATTTTCCAAAATTTTGATAAATTGGAAATTTAATTACTGAAAATTACTGATTTCGGAAATTTAATTTCAGAAATCTTTGAAAATTAATTATTGAAATCAATAATTACTGAAAAATGAATAATTAATTGAAATATTAATAAATACAAATTTAATAATTAAAAATCATTAGTAATTTTTCATTTGACAATTTATTTCAATAAATATAAATTTATTTTTTACATTTTTCAGAAATTTTGATATTATTAGTAATTTTTTAGCAATAATTAGTGATGAAGGAAGATTTGGCCCGATCTCGTAATCACTCAACACGTGGCAAAGGCAACAACTCGGCACAACAGCACGCCCAAGGCGCGAGCTCCGAAAAGAGGAACCAACGGTCCAAAACTCCCTACAAGGAGCCCGAACTCCCCGCAAGGAGCCCGAGCTCTCCCTTAGGCCCCGAGCCTTACAAACACAATGGGCAATAACCCGAACTGGCCTGCCCCATGGCAGTTCGGGACACTTCTATCCGAACTCAAGACTTCACCTCGCTCACCACTCCAGCACTTCGCCTCCAGGACGCCGAAATGAACAACCGTACCATGCCTGACACCGAGGGAGTCCGTATCTAGGGGCGGGGCACCTGACTGACTCGGGATCTGACGCTTGACAGCCGCACTTCAACGGCCACTTGCCACCGCCATCTCTAGTTACAGAGACGACTCCGACAAAGAGAGCAGTGGCGGTTCTGCCCCAATAGAGGCAGTGACACCCGAATTGGCAAGAGTGCAGAGATAATCATACCCGACCTGACAAAAGCCTAGGAGTGAGTGCGCAAAGTGGTTATAAAAGGCTCCCTACCCCCCAAGAATAAGGTATGTGAACTTTGTGCCATCTGGTTTTATCTTTCCTTTGAGAGAATACTAACTTGAGCTTCAGAGCAATCTCACCGGGTTCCCCCCGGAGATTCCTCATCTTCTCTGTTTCAGGCTCCCTGTAGCTCCAGTCAGAGGCAAGGTCGTTGACAGCTAGGACCGGCCGGATTGCGCACCATCAATTGGCGTCATCTGTGGGAAACACTTCTAAAAGCCTCCCTCTAAAACTCTCATAACCACCTTTTTTCCAAAAAAAAAAAACCCAACACTCATGGCTTCTTCCAGCAATGCCGGACGTGGCACGGAGGTGAACACCATCGGGGAACAACTTCAAGTCCCCGTGGTATGCATCGGACAGTTCACCATCCTCCTTCCGGTGGATGGGATCCCCAACCTGAATGTGCCATGAACTGTGGCGCCCGTAAACCTTCCCGCCGTGAATGTCCCCTTTTCACTCCCTATCGAAACAACCTTTACTGAACCAACTGCTATCCCCTTGACGACTAGCCAGAGCCAGTTCGATGACCTGATGCAGTGCATGCGGGCAATGCAAGCCCAAATGCAGCAGTTCTAGCAGCATCAGCTCCAGCACCACCAAGTACTGCACCACCTCTCTCAATATCACTATCAATAGCAGTTCTCGCAACTGCCTATGAACAAACCGCAGCTTCCACCGCGGCACCTTGCTCCAAAGCCAGTCAAGGCTTTCCCTCAGGGTGGACACCATCACTGAGGAGAAGACTCCCAACT